TGCTCAATTTATCGAGTGTCCGAGTGGCTGAGACAGCAATTGGATTTGTCTTTGAATTAGACACATGCTTAGGCTTACTAGAGGTTGCTGGGGGAGTCGATAGAGGCGTGTTTATACCAGGCGAGATGGTGTGTTTAAAGATCTCAGCATCAAGAGTAGTCGAATTCCCTACGGAATTGACTATGCCGTGATGTGCAGATGCCGCAAATGGTGTTGTAGAGGACTTATTCAGACTGACAGTAGGTGTCACTATCTTGGTGTTGGTTTTTGCCGAATTTAATTTATTCAGTCTTCGCTGCAGGGGTGTGAGGTCTGGCGAAACGGAGCAGCGCCATTTACGACAGAAGTCTCTAGTTATCTCCCTACTCGACAAGATAAAATCGACTTCTATCATGGAGAAAAGGGTAACTAGTATCAGCGCATTACGGATAAGCGAGCGAAGTCGCTTAGCTTGTGCGACACTGAAACTCAAGCCACAACTTTGTAGGAACAAATGCGCTCCCTCCATAGCAGATAAGTGGCTCGGAATGTTTCGCAGTACGAAATTATGCTTGCGTTTAATTCGTTCCTCAGTTTCCGAACTTATTACCCCAATAAGTTTAAAAGCTTGTTCAATTACTTTGTCAGAAGTGCTGTTTATGTCGCCATAAATCAACTGGTCGACTATTTCGCCGGCTGATTACCTGCTACGACTAGCAGAGGCGTATTTTTGGACGACTGAAGGGTCGAGAGGTTCTACATGTACTAAAGGGATTTGTGAGTTAATCAGATCTGCGGACGGCGAAGAACATACGTTGGCACCTGCTATGTCTTCAGTCACGATTTTAGCACCCAGAGACGGTGGGGAGGCCGCAAGCTTTCGCCCTTTAGCACGTGCTCTGCCGGGCATTACAGACAGGAAAAACTTTTCGTTACAGGAGAAGGATCAAAATGTTGCCAACGTACGGAAAATCGCACCAAATAGCAAGTGCTACTGTTATTTAACTACGAAAACTAGAAAGAGATAGTAGGGAAAGGATTCACTACAAAGGTTTCTTACAAAATACGACTATTTTGCAAGACTGTCAAAAAACTGGGAAAAATTATATCTTGTATCGAAAGGCGACCTTTAAAAGGGGCTCAAGTAAAAAACAGCCATTAGTTGCTTCAAAATATCCAGATAAATGCAAAGCTTCACTTATCTTTGAAATGTCGTTCCAATTTGGCACAGGGGTGGAGCAGACCATTTAGATTCTCGATAACTGATTGATTAAATAGCCACAAAAAGTACTCATCTCGGCAAGGTCAGTTTATATTTGAATTTCCTAAAATCTGCGAATCAGCCAGTAAACCTGCATCCCTCTCATTCTGGTTTGTATTAGACTTTGGCCTTGAAATTTTGCGGTCATTGGGATATTGCTGTCGACTATGATATTTACCAAGTGTAGACTGCGTTACTTGGAAAGGAGTGTGTGGACTTCTTCGTCGCTGTCACCAAACAAGGGTTTCCGTCACAGCGGCCGGGATACTATTCTGCAGCTCTTCCCATTAGGGTTTGTCACTGGCATCCGCCTTCAGTACTAACATTTCTTCTAGTTCGACTTCCGTGCATTTGCTTAAAATAAGTCAGCGTTTTGTTGTGTAAAGTAATGCGGTATTTGACTTATTTTATGTTAACTTACATTGCGGTCGCCTGTACGGTTGGAGCTGCAGGCATTTAGGCCAACAATGATAGTCACTTTTTCCATTGTCACCATAGTTGTCAAAAGGGCGTACGTTTCTTCGTAGAACTTGTGCTCCCCGTCATCAGAATTTGTCCTTAATGGGTCACAAGCACCAACGATGTTGGCGTGTTTGTTTGCACGGTGTAGCAGCCTCATGGTCACGCAGCTGTCACTGACGTCCTATGCAGCCACAGTGGCGCCTCATGGCGTGGTATCTGCTGGCCAAGGCTACTCAGGCATTTCCTGGCCCTGTTTTTGAAATCCTTCGATGTGAATGGCGTTTTCAAAGACCACTTACTCCATTCGGCCCTGCGTAGAGAAGGTGCTTTTACCTAGTGTCGTTATATCTCCCTTGTTTCAGGTCGGTTTGTGGGTCGCTTGAACCGTCCTTTTCCCGAACAATTTGCATTTGCTGCCAGGATGCTCAATGTCTTTCTGGCAGCCTGCGAGAAGCACAGAGATGCGGACGGAACCAATTGTTTCTAGTTGATTGACGACCACATTTTTCCTTTAAGCAAGACTCAGTCAGTTTGTCGATTGCGTTTTTAAGCAAAAATTCAGGCATCTTTTATAACCCTATTTTCTACGAGGGCGCAAGCGATGTTATCTCTTGGTATGGCAACAAATTCTTCCCAGAAGCCTGCTAGATTTCACTATGAATCACGTATTTTTAACATTGTAAGGCAATCGGAGTAAGCATAAACCAACTACCGCATAGTGTTTCCCTTTTTGTGGGAGAAGGTGTGCGAAAGTAGTTTTAATTAACTGAGGGATTGTCGGGCTTGAAGTGACGCATACATCGGCGCCTGGCCACATTTAGTTTGCTGACTGTGGATTTTTTTATCTTCACGACAAATTAGCGCATTTGTAGCGAGCAGCCATCATGCCCGGTCTGGCGTCATTATTCACGATCTCGCTGCGTCAAGTTCATTCACCCTTTTGAAGATAGTCCCCCCAGACGCGCTGACCTGAAGTCACACGAGCGACAGCTCGGACATACCTGCGTCCGCAAAGCCGCAGCTGTCCATGCGGCCACTTAAATGCGCCTTCCCCTTGTAACGACAACCTGGGTCCATGGGACACCACCCCTCGGCAAAGACAGCACACAGTGGCTGGACACCACATGAGCTTAGTCCACGAGCCTACAAAAGCGGATGCCACCACCGTTCCAAGGACTCTCAGGCATGACTGGTCGAAGTCAACATCAGCCCCGGCTTCGCCAGTGGCCACTGCCGCCTGAGATGACAACTCCAGATTTTGTATAAATTAAACACCACATTCTGTTAATTTCTGTTTTCGCTTTTCAAAACGTGATCAGACTTGCTAATTTTAGCTCACAGACTACACACTCACACCACTTGGTCACAACACATTCAGCCTAACATTAAGATTAGGACGTTTAAATTCATCGTGATGCGCAGAGAGTCGTAAATTCGAAAATTCGCACTTTTCACTGTTAGTAACAGCCTGAAATATGCCTTCTCTAATAAGGTTTTGATGGACTTACCAAAAATTGAGATCAGCGCTAACAAAAGAATGCAGATTGGCACATGCGAAGCAGGAAACCTAACGTGTTCCACGCGTAGATATTTTGTTGAACGTTGTCAACCACAGCGCCCTTGCCAACCCGCGGGTTTCTTTAACCCGCCTTGCCAACGGAGCATAGAGATTAACGAATGAGAATTAGTGGTAGCCGTTGCGAAAGCCTGCTTCGCTATGAACTAATCCAAATACTATGAAACGCATTTGAGAGCAACTCATTAGAATGAGTGGATGTCGTCACTTGCGAAAGTCGGCGTCACACTAGGCACAAAAACATTAGTGCGTGACAGATTCAAAGCTAACAGTCAACGAACTGTTCGGAGACGACGGGATTGTATGAAGTGACTGACAGGAATAAAGCTCTAACGGTCAGCAAAGTGATCCTATCAGAGTGTACAGATTTCCGGAAGTCACTTATAAGCCCGAGCGTCAGATTATTAAACCTAGAATGCCATAAATATTGTCAGTAAATGAATCTATCGCGATAGAAACTAGTCGAATCCAATGGACTTAAAACCGACGTTAAAGGAAGAGGAGGAGGAAGAGGAGGAGGGGACGGAAGGAACAATTGAGACAAGGAGACGTAAGTGCCCGACAGTTCCATAAAAAAAATTATCTATCTATAAATACGAAATATTTGTCGATCACAGTACTGCAAACGTCAAGGCAATTAAGCTTACGGATAAAAATTAAGAGAGAGAGAGAGAGAGAGAGGAAGGTATGATGCTTTCATTAGTAAATTTTCTTGCAGTTTCTGATAACCTGGAAGACTGACATTTGCGGACATGTCAGTGCAGACACAACGTGCACCTGATTGATTCGGTTGATCTTCTTAATGTGGCTCGATAATACGCGGTTCTCGGATCCACCGTCTAAGGTGGCTCGCACTGATATGGACAGACAGCAGAAGGTCATCTCAAAAGTTGCATTGCTGGGGATCTTAATACCCCTCCGAAGTGTGGGCGTACGACGAAACACATCTGCCAACTTACGACCATCCATGAACAATTAAACCAGCGGATAGTAATGTTTGCGATGGGAGGCAGAAAATACGCACATAAACTTGGCCCTGAGCATCGATTCTGACGGAGAAACAGGAAGGCCATGTTGATGTGGCTGAGATTGTCAGGGCAAAATTGGACGCCTAACAAACTACTGATACGTATCGGTTTTTCCAGAAATTTTCGAAGGATTAACAGGAGATTGTTAACTAAAATGCAACACAATGGTTTATTATTAAAACAGAATAACATTTCAAATTCGTTTATGGAAATCAGTACTAAAACACTTCAAATTCAAAAAATCTGTTATGCCTTGCAGAAAAAGTAATTCTTAAATAAAGAAGAGAGCTCATGTCAAATTCATTATAATTAGTGTGAGAATCATGTAGATGAAATCAAATTAACTGCTGCCTTAACGTCTCCTCCCTCTTAACAAACAATCCGACATAGAGTCATGTTTGATAAGCTTCTCGCGAATGCTACGAACCTCAATTATTAATTGCCGATTTGCTGTCCAATTCTCCTATCTCCCGTCAGGCACAGAAATTTTGCGTTGGGCTGCATATTGCTTTAGGTGAAATAGAATGTTGTCCTCTATAAGATTTCTTTCTCACGCGTACTTATTTTCGAAAATAATGACTTATAAATTCCAGTTAGAGGAAATAGTCCCTAACCATTGTTAACTTGGGCGGTTTGTTCGAATGATTCTCAGAAAGTCTTGGCGCGCCACTTTCTAAGTATCCCAAGTAGCACGATGGAGACTACTAAGGCGGCCCCTCAGCCTATGATTGCTCGCGTAAGTTAGACTTGCGTTCAGTCTAGTGTTCCTCACTTAAAGACGTGCGGCTCATTTATTTTGTATCGTTCGTGTTATCGGATCGCCTCGATCTAATTTACTTCGGAAGACTCAATTATATACAATGTAATCATACTGCACCGAGATTGCTTTGATTTGAGCGGGTCTGCAAAAAGCCGAAATAGAAGACGAAAATGTCTGTTAGACGAGACGATCTAGATTGAAAGGACTGCCATGAGTAGACCTTAAATTCGGTTGCCAACGTTCGCGGCTTGTGGGGTAAAGCAGCGCTGAGGCAGCGTTCGTCTTCGTCTTTTACTAGTTAGATATTCTATGCGATTTCCTTTCTATTTTCCATAAATCGTGACGCACTCTTATGTGCCTGGTGCCTTCTGTAGAAGGATGCCACCTAACCTTTGCAGTTACAGGAACTGGTGCCCGTGCTTTGTACTAAGTACCACCTTGTATACTTACTAGGAGCGCCTAGTACGCATCGCGGTAAGCCTTTTCATCCTAGTGGTAAGCATCTTTTTCAGACAAGTTTACGTCACTTAGAGGTGTAAGATCGGAGAATTAGCAAAATTTGCGAACTCTGCCCTTGCTTTACTTATCACCCAATCCCTACACAGACTTGACTAGTTATCAACCTTTCTCTTCTGGCAGGTTACCCGCCTTCTTGGCCGCACTGGTTCTCAGGGACAGTGTACGCAGGTTCGTGTGGAGATCATGGAATCCAAGCGAAGCATCATCAGAAACGTAAAAGGCCCGGTCCGCGAAGGGGATCTGCTCGTCCTCCTAGAGACTGAAAGAGAGGCCAGACGACTAAGATAATGTTTCCTCTAATAAAATAGGGTTAATGTACTTTGGTCTTCTGTCCATGGACAGTGTTTGGTTTGTCGTTCAGACCCCTATCATTATGAAAATGGCTTGTGGTTTGGACCATATAACAACTTGACTTCAGGTTCCCAGCACTCCCACCGACACCAAGGCAGGCCAGTTGCCTATGCTCTGGTTTACCGCAAGCTATCTCTTGCGCTGGGTTTTTCAAGTGTTCCCATAAATGTGTCAGTTAGACCCTTGCGCCCGCTTCTGTTGCCTTCAGTTTATATTTCGGTACTCAGCGACGGAGTCCTCGGCAGACCTGAGGTTTTTGATGCGCTAGGAAGGCATACGGTGATGACTTTCACCGGACTAAGTATGTAATCCGAGCGTTTTTTCGGTGGCCTGACGTGGGTTGATAGCTACGGCGGCCTGGAGTACCATTTATGCTATCGTTATTGGGTTTTTAGTAGTAACTACGTGTAGGTAATCCAGCTGGCGAGACAGGTTTAAGGCTGGAGCCGTGTCAGACGGCGAAGAGAATTTGTTGCGTGGAGTAGCACGCGCTAGTCTCACATATTACATGGGGCGCTCTATCGGTTGAGTTTCTTACTGGGGCCACAGTGATAGGAGGTTAGACTCGACCTACTCGTCGGTCATCTGCTGTCTTAGGTTGCTTCAATCCAGCAGTAGCGACAACTGCTGGGCTAGGTAGGGTCTGAGGTGGGCCCGGACAAGGGTTTTGCCGACAGTGCTTCGGGGGAGATCCCAAGGCTGTCACATATTTGCCTGTTGCTGTTTCGCTTGCAGGAGTGAGTCCGTCCCTCGAATCCCTTGTGGTCTTTCTTTGTCTTGCCTCCTATAACAACGAAGCTGACTTTTCGAGGAGCTGAGGGTCACTGTATTCGTGGACTGTCAGTCGAGTGCGCGCATGGTGCTTTGTTGTTAGACCTCAGCTTCACTCATTAATTGTGTCTTGGGGAGAGGAAGACAGCAAATGATCAGTCTAGTCAATTGTTTCTATTTTAGAAATCCTGGAGACGACCTCGTAGACTGAGGGTAGGGACCTGAGGTTCCCAAGTCGCTCGGTCCAACGTCCCGGTATCCGCGACTTTAACGGTGGAGGGACTCCTTCCAAGTTTGGTAGGGGCAGAGTTGACTTGGGTGGCGGCGTTCTCGACTGCATTGCGGTGTTTGTGAACTTAATTTGTATTACGAACCAGTCAGTGTTATACGACCCCTGCTGCGGTAGGCGTCTTCAGTCTTATTTGCATCGGTGCATTTGTTTGCAGAGAAGCGCTGCGCCGTTGCCTCTGAACACTTCGTAATATTACCTTGGTGACTTCCGTTGCCTTTTACTATTTCTCGCCCTCTGGATCCGGATTGGCGTTCAATTTGTTTACGAGGTCCTGCCTGCTTTCGAAGTTATGCTTTATCTTCGCTGACCTTCAGCCTCACCACCAAGAAATTTGGACGGTGATTCGACGAGCATTCACTACCACAAATGGTCCTTATCACGGACACGTGTCTCTCCTGGCGAGTGTGGGGAGAGCTGTGGATGAGGGTGCTTTCTTGCCATTTTGCGACGCGCAACTTGTTCTGCGCAGGTCTTCGACACTAGGACGTGGCTACTATTGGAATCTCCTATCCTATGACGACTTATCCCTCCTACCCGGATGACGCGATTCATCAGTCCCAGGCTTGCAGACTCTACCTTGGTGATCGTCGCCTTCGAAATGTGGACACTACTGCTCGCGACGGAATTCCTTCTAAAGAGAAGAGGCCGCAGTATTGTGGAACGAACTTCGATAGTCGGACGTATTTTTAGAGAGTTTCTTGGGCATTGTGGGCACACGCGGGTCCCCAACAACCGCTCGAATTGTTTGTTCGAGGCTTTCTCTAGCACTTTAGCTCAAGGAGTTAACCACAAGATAGCGGTGGTAAGCAAACTTATTTAGCGGTGGCTTACGGTCCCCATGCCACAGTGCCGCCATGGGGCTCTGTTGATTTTTTCACAAGGCTTTCAGCATGCCAAACCTCAGCGCCCTGGTACACGACTGCTCATTCGTCAGGCCTGAGTCTGCTTTCTTCGTAGCTGATCCCTACTAAAAGCCGTTCCACAATCCGCCACCTCCAGACTCAGGGTAGCCAGCAACTAGGCTGACTTGCAACCCGTCTTCGGGCCGGCTAGATCAGGCATGATCATAGCTTGTAACAAGTAGAAGTATTCTCGATACCAGGTGCGGGGGGGAGCAACTTCCTGCTGGTGTCATTTTCAACGTCAACAGCAAGCCAGCCTCTTATCCTTTCCTAGAGTGGCTGCAGAATGCGGTGTACCGCATGCTGGGAAAAGAGAGTCACGCCTAGGGCGGTAGTGTTAAACATGTACCTGTATCGGCCGGAAATTTGTTTTCCGGTCGTTTGTCCCTTCGTTTGTCTAACCGAGAACGGGTGTTCCAGGGTTTCTGGGCGGACGAAGTCCTTTTGGCGGGAGGGAATTCGCTCGTTGTTTAGACCAGCGGCTACGGTCGGTTATGTAGACGGTAGGAGCCGTGAGGGGGCGACTTAGACATGGCAGACGTCTGCCTAGTTTCGCTGTTTTTCGCGACTGGTTTGGTGGGGAACCTGAATTAGCTGGTGCCACTTACTGACTGCATGCCGTTGGTGAGTGAGTGAGTTGTGGGCTCCACCTGAGCAGACAACAAGGACTTGCGGCGCATCGGCCTCACTCCGCTCCCGGCAGCAAGACTAGCAATAAAGTTGGGCTCGGTGTCTATCCTGGAGTATGCCCTTTTTCGCATGTTACAACACCGCGGAGTCGTGATCGGCAGCGCCATGCTAGTGAAGACCTTTTCGGAGTTCACGTGTCATTACGAGCATGTATCCGTCAATGCCCTAGAAGCAAGCGCGACCCGCCTCTTGTTGCCGCGCCTGACTTATGGTCGTCATCTCTTACGCGGCGTAGGCATTCCCAGTTGTACAATCGTCAAACCACGCAGGATTCGGCTTCTATCCGCTCCCAACTGAAAAAGTTTTAGATTTCAGATGCTTCTGTTTACCTCGGTCCGCCTCTCCTCGCCCGTCTAGCCTCTTATGAATAGATCTCACAGTAGCATAGTTAGCCTAGCAATCCCCTCTGAAGTTATGAACATTCGCTCATGATGTTTTGTACGTTGCAGTTTGTTACGGCCACACAATCGCACCGTCGGGATACCTTGTTCCCAGAAAACCTAGACGATTACTGCATTGAAATCCACCCATCTGACCGCTGACTGAAAGTGTATCCTTTAGCCTATTCTTGATCATGAGGTAGAACACCGCATGTCATTGGCTCCCTTGCTTCTGGATTAAAGTCCACGACTTAAGGAAAGTTTACGACAGCCGCCCCCCCCCGGAAGGCAGCGATTTCAGGAGGGTGCTATTCGGTGGGGACACATGATTATAATCGCACCTCCGGAGCACTATGCGTCAGACGTAATAGTACAGCTGCGGCTGTTTACCCGTAAAACCGGAGAGTCTGTCTGCCACTGGCAAGGAGCCCGTCATCAGAGACAGTCAAGTGCCTGCTACCTTTAGCTGCTATTGGCCAGAAGGCTGTCCCCCCCCGGCGAATACACATTGGATGCGTGGACCATAGCCTCCCGGTCGCCCACAGGCATAGCTAAGCGGAGACTGCGAAGAGCCGTTGCACGGGTGGGCCTCCCGATGGAAGAACGGTACGTGAATTCGAGGATGTGGTGTCGACTCTGGGGACTCCGCCCTCACAGCAGTCAGCGCATATTCCTCACTATAAACAATCTGGCCCTCCTTAAACTATTGCGGTGTGCTATAAGCCGTGGCTTGGAAGATTGCCAAGTGGGTCCTCCCTTTAGGACGGAGAGTCAGGCTGCAATGGCTCCTCAACGTGGCCTCTACGGCACTTCCACTCAGTTGGGGTTTAAGGCGCCGCCTTCTGTTGTTCCTGTGAAAACCTTGTCCATCGTGGCGTGTCCGTTAAACGCAGAAGGGCTGTTGAGCCCTGCCGGCTCCCGCACCCGATCCCGCCTCTGATCTTCCCTCCGGCCCAATGGGGTGAGGGAGGATGCTTCGAAAGTCTGCTACCACTATAAACTGATTCACGCGCAAGTCACCTTCACTTCGCCGACTCTGTTGGTTGAACTGTCACCATGTGTGCAATGGGTCTGTCTGCTCAACCACCCAACCCTATATGAAGAAATTAATAAAAATGCGAGTGGAATTATGATAAGTCACAAGAAAATAGTATTAGCAGCAGTAATAGGAGGGTTGGGGTGTAAAATCACATCTTTCGGTCTGCCGCATCTGGCGGTCGTGGCCAAGTTTGCGAAGCAGTACAAAAGCCTCACTAAGAGGATGCATGGAGGGCAGGCACAAGAGATTAAAAAACATCACCGTGTGCAGGTTTGCGAACCTCAGGCCCGCTCGGAGCCATCAAGATACTGACCGTTCCAGAACTGATCATCAGCGCTCGTGGTGGTGGTGGTAGTGGTTTCCGGGCCGGCAGTAGGCGCCAACGGCGACTGACTGACGGCGGGGGAGGGCATCATCAGCTGTTTCTTCACGTGCTGTTGGTTTACGTCCAGCATCTTCTGCAGACCCTTCTTCACGATCTGGTAGTTGTACTCAATGATGCCTACAGCGCACAGGGGTAGAGAGATAGCTATGTACACATACACATATATGTCATTGCCGACAAAGACAAAGGAGACTGGAATGGCCACTTCCGGCTTATTAGCCGTCGCCGACCAGCCATATCCAACCCCAAAGTGCGGAACACCTGGGGCTCGATCCCGCGACCTGTTAGTTGGAAGTACAACGCCTCTAACCACTGAGCCGCGGGCTCGTTGTCCTGCCAGTCTCGATCGGGAATGCACAATGGTGGAGGGGCGCTCACCGATCGCTTTTACGGCATTCACTTGTCCCGATCAGGTTACGGAACGTGCTCGTCCGCGTATATAGCGTCCACTGGAAATGTGCTGCGCGTGAAAAACTAG